CTGGGCATGGATGTGCTGGCTGGAGGCTTTCCCCGCTGCTCCCATTGGCTGGAGTTGCGACCAATGGGAGCAGCAGGGGGCTGTGCCTGGGACACAATTCCTCGGAGTAGCATAGGGCACAAAAGCAAGTAAGTGCCCCCAACCCCCTCATGCCCAGACCCCACGCCCTCCACCTGCTCCTGCGCCCTCTCCCCTGGCCAAACACCCTACCCCCCACCCTGCTCCTGAACCTACTCTTGTTCGTGCACCTTCCCTCCTGACCACACACTGCACCTTCCTTTGCTCTTGCCCTCCCTCTCCGCGGTCCAGACACCCTACTCCCAACCTGCTTCTGCACACCATCTTCCACCCAGACCTCGCACCCTGCCCCTCCAGCACTCCACCTCCCGCCCAGATCCTGCACCCAGATCCCTATCGCACTCACTGACAGCCGTGTCCCAGCCAATGAACCCCTCATTTTTGTCCCCACCCCAGAGCCTGGGGGGGGGCCGCAAAATCCATTAACCCCGGAACCCCAGTAGAATAAATCTGGTCCAGGGGAAGTCCTGAACCTCAGTCCTCTCTGTCCCTTCCCTTCGCCCTGTGGGGCTGGAGTGCCAGAGAAAAGAGGTGTCTCCGTTGAGGGCCGCACCAGCGAGGGTTGGAAGTTTTTTTTTTTTTTTTTTTTTTTTTTACTTCTCACTTGTGGGATTTTCCCAGTTGATTTTTCTGTTGGTCAGTGGACCCCGATCCAAAAAAAGTTCCTCGGCCTGTCATAAATAAAGAAAACATTGAAAACTTTTGTGTCGGACATAAATTAATATTCTATTTAAAATGAAGTTTGATAAACTAACATGAGAAAGATAAAGTGCTGAATCTGGTCAATAATTTAATATTTCCTTTCTTACTGGTTAAATTAACCGTTCTCCCCAGCCTGCAGCACTAGCAAACTGGCTCGGACATAATTATCTAATTAACAACGAGTTTCCATTAGCCAATTGGGGGTCCACGGAGAGGTCAGCATTGAGCCAAGTGGGCCACTGGCCAAAAAGTTTGAGAACCACTGCCATAGAGACTGAGGTTTCTGATATGCTGTTGTTCCCAGGGGAGAATGTCAGTCACTCATCTGTTTGTGGTTGATTGTTACACAACTGATAGCCTGTCCTTGCCTTATGTCCTAATGTGAAATGTCATACATGCCTCTCTGGGATGTTGTAAGGATTAATTAATGTTTGCCCAGTATGAGAGCGAAGTATCCCTTGTTTTTTACTATGCATTTTCTGATGGTGGTCCATTCCAGGACAGTAGCAAACTGAAGATTTTAATGTCTGTTCTCCCCTTTGCATATTTACATAGTGTACTCATTAATGCCAAGAAGAGCTCAGCACATGGACTTGATGAGAACTGTTGGTCTTAAAATACATGCAGTTTAAGTGGCAATACTGAATATTTATTCAACAGTATGTTGGCATAAATTGAAGGAGAAGGGAATGAGTTGGTGAGCAAAATTAGGGGAGAAAAAAAAGCTGGCTAAAGTATCTTGTTTTAAGGAGGAAATGAAAGACACAATTTGACCCTAAATTTAGGTTTTGTGAAAACAAACTTTTAACAAATTTTAAGACAACTATTTTGAGCAGTTGCCATACATTTATTTTAAATTGTTTCTCTGGAACTGTTCTAGTCTACTGTTTATATTTTAATAAAAAGTAAAATCCTCTAATTGTTTAGTTCAGACTAAAGCTAATGAAATATGGTAAACTAGCTAACACAATGGAAAGTGAAATAGAACCAGAAATAAAACTGACTAGTCTGTTTTCAGTTAATTTTTGCATTTCTTTCTTTCCACTTGGACAACCAGCATAAATAGTGAAGAGTTAATCGCATTTTAAAATTATTTTGTTCCTTGTAGTAACACTAGTTTCTTAGGATTTTTTGGTCTAGGGCCTAATCCTGCAAACCACACTTTTTTTTATGCACATGGGTAACTGTTGTGGTTCATTGGTGCTTCCCATGTGTGTCAGGGTTTAAGGACTAGAATCTAAGTGAGAGAGATCTAGAGAATCTGCTGGTAATTGCTTGTAGTACCATTTTTCCAGCACATAGCATCATTAGCTCTATTTTCCAAAAGCCACTAGCAAAATCTGTAATATAATCACTTCACAAATTGAGCCCACTCTCAGTGCACAGGTTAAAATGTAAAAACAACAAGAACAACAGTAAATAAAATAAACAGTATGCATCTGAAATAAAATGTTACAAGCATAACCAAGATACATTTAAAAAAATCAATAAATCCTACTATCTTACATACACAGAAATAAAGTTACTCTTGTATGTGAAAGTGACAAATACGTCAAGCATTAAATTGTAGAGACCCTTTCTAAATGCGCACATATAATGTGACATGTGATATTGTTTCTTTTAACCAGCTAAGCCAGTAGTTGTAAATGCAACTCCAGTGCGGATGTCTGTCCCAATAGTTCCAGCTCAGACAGTCAAACAGGTGAGTTTAACATGAAATCCGTATTCTAGTCTCATTTCAGCTGGCAAACATGTCAACTTTGGTACTCTGGAGGTAAATTATTTAAATTGTTTTGCATGGATTCTTGTTTTCATAATTTTATTTTTTTTAATGTACAGTATGTTGACAACTTCATAAGGGTTTCTCCTCTTTCCAGGTGGTGCCCAAACCAATCAACCCAAATTCACAGATAGTTACTACTAGTCAGCCACAACAGAGACTTATTATGCCAGCTACTCCCCTGCCGCAAATACAGCCAAACCTCACTAACCTCCCACCCGGCACTGTGTTGGCACCTGCACCAGGCACAGGAAATGTAGGCTATGCAGTTCTTCCAGCGCAATACGTTACTCAGGTATGGTGATAGCACGGGGTAAATGATGAAATTACAGAAGTTATTGTAGGAGGCATCCTACTTTCATGTTGATGTTTTTCCTTCAGTTTAGGGCTGGGCTTGTCCTTTCCCAAAACTTAGTCAAGAATCAGAGTGAAAAGGAATGGGCATTAAATCCATGATTTAAGATTAAAAAAGCCGAGCAACATGTATAGGGATTTGTGTTAGCACTCTGCATACAATTGGCAGACCACTTGCATAATTATTCTCACAGTGACCTTCCCTGTCAAGGTAAAAAAGATCTGGAACAACACACTATGACACAAATGCCAGGATGAAAATGACACAAAGATCTTTGTCCTTGGTATAAAGAAGCAATGATAGAAAGGCAATAGATTTTCTGAAGTGTACAGCACTCTCAGATGGGGCCACATTTTTTTTTTAAAAGCTCCTTATATCTTTAGGCATCTGACTGAAGTGGTGAGGTTGTTCAGAATTGCTCGTCACACAAACAGCTTGCTGGCTGCCGAGCACTTCAAAAAATCTGGCCTCTTTAGATGCCTAAAAAGAACTGTTTGCAGCTGAACTTTCTTGAAAATGTGGCCTATTGCACAAAAATAAAAGTAACTGAGTAAACGAGTAAAAAAACTACAAAGCTGAGCCACGTGGGGGATTCTGATGAGCTATGTGTGAAGACCCTTCTGGTCGTGTGTACTTGCTAAGAGAAGGTCCTGGGTCCATAGGTCTTGCTGCTTGTTTCCTCCCCCTATCTCATCGTGTCAGGAAACAAGAAGGTATGCAGGTTAACAGGTAATAGTACCACAGTCAGAGAGTGCAAATCAGCCCTGGTTTCTTATTCTTGTTTAAGTTGATTCTGAATGGATTATGACCTTGCTGGTTGCTTCAGTGACTCAGGTGACTTTACTCTGATTCATCCCTTGCAGCACAGGTGTAGTCGGCACTGTCCCTAACAATGCAGGTGCTCGACACAAAGGTATGCAGGTTAACAGGTAATAGTACCACAGTCAGAGAGTGCAAATCAGCCCTGGTTTCTTATTCTTGTTTAAGTTGATTCTGAATGGATTATGACCTTGCTGGTTGCTTCAGTGACTCAGGTGACTTTACTCTGATTCATCCCTTGCAGCACAGGTGTAGTCGGCACTGTCCCTAACAATGCAGGTGCTCGACACAG